GGGGATTGAACTTGGGTCCTTGTGCTTGCAAGGCAGGCCACCAAACCACTGAGCTAAATCCCCAGCCCAATTCTCAGAATTTTAATCTGATTTTTAACTCAGTTTATGGGAAGGATGATTATCTGTCCTAATTTGCTTAGTCTGGCCTCAGTTTTTAATCTTTGCCCAGTGTAATTGTTTTGTTTTTATATTTTTTCTTTTTTATCTTACTGAGTTTAGTGGTACTCTTTAAGTACACAGTACAGTTAACATTCATCATTGGGATCTTGTACCCTTACATGACAGATCTTGGTTCTCATTATTTTCCCCATACTTGTTTATAATTTCAATATAGTTCTTTACTTAAATTTTTTTTGTTGTTTTGTTTTTGGAGACAGGGTCTCACTGTGTAGTTCAGGCTGACCTTGAACTTACTTTGTAGTCCAGGCTTGCCTGGAACTCACAGAGATCTTCCTGCGTCAGCCTCCTGAGTGCTGGTACTATGAGCATGTGCCACCACACCTGGCAGTCAACATTCTTTGTATGGGTGGTGTCCCCTTTCATTCTCAGACGTGTCTCTTTTGTTAAATTATACACAACCCAACCTTTGGCAGGTGGAATTCAGGATATAGTGCTTACATACTGGATGGCTTTGGGCAAATCCTACAGCTTGTCAGTGCTTGTGAAAAACGAAGGCTAGGGCCAGGGATTTAGCTCAGCTGTTCGGTGGCCTGCCTTGCAAGTGCAAGGACCCGAGTTCAATCCCCGGTACTAAAACAAAAACAAAGGATAGCAAATATGAAAACAATTTTTTTTTAGTATCTGGCTATGGCGAGCCATTATGGTGAGCCTTGACACAGGCCTAGCCATGATTGAACTTTGAGTCACCTCGCTGGCACGGACGTGCTCTCGCCCATAGCCATGGGCGAGTTCAGCTGGTAGCAGATGTAACCCATAATGGTTGTTATTGTTTCCCTCTGGAATGTGTGAGCGGTACTCGCTCCTGTGCATCCCTCGCTCCCATGCAGCTGGAGAGTATAAAAGGAAGAGGTTCTGTAATAAAGCAAGCAATAAAGCAAGCAAGCAAGCAAGGAACATGAGAAGAAAGGTGCCTCCCGTCTCTCTGTCCTCGTCCTTTCAGGTTTAGGACCTGCTGGCAGGATCCTGACGTCGCGGCTTGCGACATCTGGCAATGTTTCTTAATATATTATATTCTCGTGGATAATGCTGCCAACTCATTTTTCTAGATCCAGATGTAGCATTAGAGTTCTCTGCTAAATGTTAACTGACAATTGTAATCTACATGAAAGTTTCTAGTTTTTCTACCAGAAATTGACTCCTGATTTTTTTAGTGACAGGGCCTTGCTGTGTATTTCAGGCTAGCCTTGAACTCACAGTGTAGCCCATTCTGGCCTCAAATACATGGCAGTCCTCTTCTTGCCTTAGCCTCCAAAATACTGAAATCAGAGGTGTGTGTCACCATGCCCATCTGGCTCTTGATTGCAAACAATATGATGATGTAAAAGTTTGATGGTAATTAGGCTGATTATCTTATTAGGTATAGGTGCAGCCCAGTTGATACAGGTGTGATGATAAAAGAAAAATCAAAATTAACTTGAGTTGAATCATATAGTTCTTAGATAATTGTGATATAGAATCAAATTCTGTATATAGCTTTTTTTTTTTATGGGAAAGATTTGAGACACAATCTTGCTATGTAGTTCAAACTGACCTTGAACTCACTATGTATCCCATGCTGGCCTCAAATGCGTGGCACTCCTCCTGCCTCAGTCTCCTGAGTGCTGGGATTACAGCCTATGCCATCACATCCAACAAGTGTATACAGCTTTTTAAAGATTGATTATAGACCAATTTTGATTGTTCTGTCCATTTATTGCTTTTGTAGATTGCCCATGATAACCTTTAAATTCTTTGTTGTTCTTATGCCAAGTACTTCAGGACTGTTTCTTCTTTCATTAATCCTTGCTCAAGAAATATAAGATGGTTTAATTTCATTTTAAAAAATTGCTGAAAGGAGCGGGCATGGTGGCACACACCTGTAAGTCCAGCTCAGAATGCTGAGGCAAGAAGATCTCTATGAGTTCAAGGCTACATAGTGAGACCCTGTTTAAAAAAAAAAAAGTGGAAAAAATTGCTGAAATATAATTGTTTTAATTCAAAGGAATTATATACACACTGAAAATTCAGACACTGTAGAAAGTCATACAGCATGGTACTTTCCTCAAGCATCTTATTCATAGTTTCTACATATAAATCATATTTCAGATCTCTCTTACATTTGTGTTTTATATACGTAATAAATCTGAAGATCTTTTTATTTGATACAAATAAGTGTAATTCTTTTAAATATCTGATATTTCAGTTACACAAATGCTTTTTTTTTCCTCCAAAAATTCTTGATATATTTGTCCCTTACAGATGGACATTTAGGATTTCAGTATTACAAATAGTACTACAGAGATCACTCTGAAATAGTATCTCTGCTTCCTTGTGCTAAGGTATCTGCAGAGTACATTCTTAAAGGTGAGATTAATGCGCAAAGGTGTTTTTTTTTTTTAATTTTTAAAAATTTATTTACTTACTCATTTTTTATTTTTTTGGTACCAGGGATCAAACTCGGGACCTTGTGCTTGCAAGGCAGGCTCTGAAACCACTGAGCTAAATCCCCAGCCCCTAAAGTATTTTTGCATTTCAAATTTAGATATTACCAAATTTCCTTCCAAAAATGTTATACCAATTTATATTCCCATTCATTATGCTATTTCACCTCACTCTTGGTAGTACAGCTTATAAATTAAAAACAAAAATCTTTGCTAATTTGATG